TCACTTGACAATGGTACAGACGAGAAGACAGGGTGTCACAGAAAACTCCCCCCCCCCCCCCCCACACACACTGTACAGCAACACTCTACTTACTCCCATTGAGTAGCAGCATGTGTATGGCCATGATTCCCATGTCACTTTACGTGATGTGGAGGACAATTGCGACTGCTCAGGAGGCACAGCAGCCTGCAGACTTTCCAGTGTGAAATCTCTTCGCTGCACCTCCCGAACGAACGCGTCGAACACAACTTGACTGGACATGTCTGTACAGGGACAATGTGTACGTAACACAGACAGACACACAGACAGACACGCACACACACACATACACACACAGACAGACACACAGACACAGAGACACACACATAATACAAGTCATATACACGGAGCAATGGACAAACAGACCGTCACACACGGATACAGACACAGACACACAGACAGACGGACACATGGACGGATAGACACAAAGACCGATAGAGAGACACAGACAGACAGATGGACAGACACACAGACACACAGACAGACAACAAGTACTCACATACTATGACATACACAATGATCCAAACAAGATTGATCTCACGTGTCAATACTTGTATCTACGCTGATGCGTACGCACACACACGTACACACTCATCATGACGTCATACCTAATGCCATATTTAGAGTGACACAACCTTTGACCCCACGTCCACGGACATGCAGCTACGTCAGTCAGTGACTGTGTCAGTAGCTGAAAAAGGTGAAGACGATCAATGAACGACATCACGGGGACATCTTCACAACACACTGCAACACAATGCAATTTACCTGTCTCAGCAAAACCACAGAAACCACCGACAAATGTTACACCTCATTACTACAACTGCCTACGACAACTATCGACGAAAGAATACTGCTCTCCACTTCAAACAACACCAACTCTGTACAGTTGACAACCATGGAAGAAGAAAACGACAGTTCGAAACGACAGTTCGAGGAAAGGTACGTCTCCACCCAAAATGAATGGAACAATTTCAACTTCAACTTGACAAGCACGAACAGTAACAACAGCAAACACTTGATATTCGAACAATCTCCATCGTCGATCGCAACTAGAAATACCAATCCATCCTCCTGCTGGTCAGGTCTACCTTCTTTACAAAGAGATGAAATGTACTTCATCTACAAGACCCGGGTCAATCAGTAGGTCCCTGAATGACCGTCGCGTTGTGACACGGGACAAAGACAAAGATGGAGACCAACGACCAACGACCAAGGAGACGACACTACTAACGAAAATATGGGAAGTAAACGAAAAGAAAGAGATGGAGTGCCACCATTTGTAACTTACATTCCTTGTTCGAGTAACGTTGATGACATTGAAAACGATCTGCCTTTCTCTACTTTCTCACCATATATAGGAAACATGATGAACTTCTCTTGTCTATTGAGAGTTCTGAACATGGTCTAATCTAACTTGCTATATGGATAAAGTCACCGTTGAACTTCTCATAGACGAACACGACTACAAGTGGCGAGTCCAGACTAAAGGGAAGAGATCAAGAAAGTCATCCTTGAACGTTGTCTTCAAGTAGCAGTGAAGAGTAAAGAAGAACCGTGGCGTGGAAGTGCGGAGGGCTTTGACCGGATGGTGCAGCAAAGAAGTAACTCACTGTTTGAACTTTGGACTTTGACCTGAACCGCTACCGAACGATCCACAGCTGGATAGCCAGAACGATAACTACTTGTAACAGTGCAAGAACAGGGGAGTGAATGGAGTGATCCAGTCGCTAACGGGAGCAAATATAAATGAACCCATTATGACAACCAGATCCGTGCAGTACCTAGCGGATTTGTACCAGGCATGTGCACACACGCTAGTTCTCAACCGTGTAACTCAGCCTGATGACCTAGCTCTGGAGTAGGCATAGTCACAGTGTGCTATATCAGTGATACTAATGCTACATTGTAGGGGATTTTAAATAGACCTACAGCACATGATGTATTTTACTTACTGAGTGAATTGTCCGTTCCGTGAAATCTTTTTCAAACGTTCGCTGAGTGGACTGACTGGAATACGTAGGTCGCTGAGAGAAGGAGAGCGATATGCTGAACTTGGTATTCACTGGGAAAGCGTTATGCTGGACCTTTTACTCACTGAGAGAGCGTTATGCTAAACTTGTTATTCACTGGGAGAGCGTTGTGGCCACTACAGACTGGATTAGTAGTTGAGAGAATGAGTAAGAATGACTGGAAAGGATAATGGAATGACTGGAAAGGATAATGCACGACTAACAAAGGTAGGTATGAACTATTCAACAACACTAGAGGACGTTTACTGGAAATGAGAAAGGGACGGAGACGAAAACCACCAACTAACAGTGGACTGTGCCGTGCGAAATGGACGACTGAGCGGTGCAGATAAAATAACGATGTAATCTAATGTTTGAACGAATCGTGCTTTACATGCATGTGGTAAATGGCAAGAGATGCAGCTCACCGTCTGGCAGACCACGGTCCG